GGCAAAAACTCAGGCCCTTTCAGTATCAAGAGTGGCATACATGAGTTTCTGGCCCTTTAACAACTAAATCCAATGATGGTAAATTCAAATTTGATCATATACTAGGGCAATATATGCCCTTCTCTCTCTTGTAGAGAATGTACTAACTGCCACTGTCTTGCTACAACAGCACTAATAATGCTTGTTACAACAAGAGGACACGACAGAGGGGAACCCAAGACCATGCATAGTGGTGAAAGGCCAAACACCTTCCATCCACTCAGCGCTTAATCTAAATTGTGTACAACTGGGGTGGCTGTAGGCGCCTGGTTATCACCATCTCCTCTGGTGCACTAATGCTGTATATCAGAAGTTAGCTACATTTTGCTAATAAGGACCCAGTTTAACATAGCTCTGTCTAAAGAGCTTTAAGAGGGATGTGGACAGCATCGAGAGGGTCCAGAGGAGGGCCACTCGTATGATTAAGGGACAGCAGGGTAGGTCCTATGAGGAAAGGTTGTGGGACCTGAACCTGTTCAGCCTTCAAAAGAGAAGGCTGAGGGGGGATCTTGTGGCCTGTTATAAACTGGTTAGGGGGGATCAGCAGGCGCTGGGGGAGTCCCTGTTCCCCCGAGCGCCGCAAGGAGTGACCAGGAACAATGGTCACAAGCTGGCGGAGGGAAGGTTTAAGTTGGACATCAGGAGGCGCTACTTCATGGTCAGGGCGGCTAGAGTCTGGAACCAGCTTCCAAGTGAGGTGGTGCAGGCTCCCACCCTGGGGGTTTTTAAGAGGAGGTTGGATGACCACCTTACTGGGGTCGTTTGACCCTAGTGCTCTTCCTGCCATGGCAGGGGGTCAGACTAGATGATCTGCTCAGGTCCCTTCCGACCCTAGAAACTATGAAACTATAAAGGCAGGCTGGAAGCAGCAATTGCTAGATTAGGGGGTCAGCAATGTTTTTGGGCAGAGTGCCAAAAACACCTGCAACCTTGACTTATAAAATGTTGGCATACCAGGGATGGGTGGCAGGGGAGCTGCGAGGGGTCTGATCCTTGTTGTGGCAGCGCAGCTCTGACTGACCCCTTCCCTGCTGTCTGCTCCAAGGCGTGCATGCTAAGCAAAATGCCTTCATGTGCCATGCTTTGGCACTTGTTGCCTACCCCTATGCTAGCCAATGCATTCTTGTACAACATATACTAACAATGGTGTGCTTGGCAGGTGGAAAAAACCCCTTCAGGGGAAGAGCCATCCTATAGGCTGCAGACTGCCAACCCCTCCTGTAAATCCACTACACAGCCAAAAGTAGACTACGGCGAGGCAGAAAGGGAAGGTGATACAGAACATCTGTTTTACTTGCCATATTCCAGTGGCAAACTGCTATTGGAATCAATGGTAAAAAGCAGGCCACTTGAACTGGGTTGTTCCTCATGTCTTTCATGCGACTACACAGACAAGAAGAGGGGAGAACTTACATGTTTTTGGTCTTGAAATCCCTTGATTACAGCCCTGGGAATCCCTAGTGTCTGCACATCGGGCCTCTGCCACTTCTGGGCTACTTCAGGGACAACCATGAAACAGACTTCACGGCCCTCAGCCACGTTTCATAGCAAGCTTCTCACATGGGGAGACGAGTTTGATCTCAGGAGGAGAAATGAAGACGACTAGTTGGCCACCCAGTTCAGCCAAAAACTCATGCACGTTTTTTCCTTGCAGAGCATTTTCCCCACACTACCCCTTTTATGAAGAGGTCTCTGGTCTTTCTTTACATTAGCTGTTTTACTCTAAATACACAGAAAAAGCAGAGAGGCTAAACAAGACAAGTGATCTTGGCAGCACATTTCTTACGTGACAATTCAAGTGCCAGCGTTACCTACTAGCACTACCTGCAAGGTAGCCAACAGGCTGCACATGGCTCATCCTTGTCACGGGAAGCATAAACTATCCTACTTTGATCTGACAGCTTGGAGAACATTGAGAAAAATCCAATTTAATTTATATAATTAAAGTGCTTTAACAAAAAATCATTAATGGCTTCTGCTAATCTTGTGTGGGTGACTGAATGCTGGCTTTACAATGGTTGCCTATTGACCTTGTAGGGTAGACATATTATTTAGCAGCCATTTATCAGTAATATAAAAGAACCCACAGATAGATGATTATAAAAATTGTCTCTGAACTCATAGCAAAGGCCTGAAATTAAGGGCCACCTTAGCTGGTGCAATTCCATGAAGCTATAGCATGAAGAGCTCCAGAGCTCAGCAGCTGAGAGTATGGGCCATAAGCTGTTTTTATTTTTTTTTTTTATTTTTAATTGCTTTTTGAATATTTATGCTTTGGTTGCTCATTTGAAAGAAATTACAGCTGCATCTGCTCCTGGGAGAGTGACAGCTTTCTATGCTACCAAAGAGACCTTAAGATCCAACTTCACAGGCTGATATAAAAAGAACTTGATTCACTACTCTATCGTGCTGGTTTTAAACTGGTGCAAACTGACTAATGGATTTATGATGGGATTGAAAAATATAACAGTAATAAAGTGAAGCATCAGACCCACCACCTGTAGCAAGACAGGATGGCTTTATTTGAGCTTTTGCAATTCATGTTGACAGCTAACAGAGTTAGCAAGATGTGCAATGTTTATTTCTGTTATGAAAAAGATGAACACTGTACAGGCAAATGCCTGAAGCCCCATGGCATACAGCTATAAAAAAATGGCATGTGAGTTTGAAATTTCTATGCTCTCAAAGCTAGCAGTTCCACTCGCCTAATATATGAAGCTGAGAGCACCAGAGGGGATCTGAACTGCATTCAGGAGGAATGTAATAGTTTAGAGCCATACATTTATGCCTGAGTGATCTCTAGGATAAAAATTCCATCTGCACTGGCAGACACACAAGGACAATTTATAAATGCTCGTTAAACTAGGCTGAGATCAAGTGAGAGGCACTAGAATTATTACTCAACCACTTTCTCCATGTTACTGAAACACCACCACCCCAGTCATTCTTGTGATTTTTTTTCGACAAATAGTTGAGGAAGTGAAATTACATTGAGAAGCACTGTTAATTGCTCCTGTGAATAACAGTTTTGATCTGCTGCTGCTATGAGCCTCTAGGAAATAACCTGTTAAATATCTGGCCAAAGTAATGCAGCATAAGCCCACAAGATGCTTTAAAATGGCACTTACAACCGTCAAAAAATGGTGTGTTCTAAATTTGGAGCAAGTTCTAAGGACTATCATTAATTATTCAGAAGAGGTCAGAGTTGACTTCATGTGCAACTTAGTTTGGTAAACTGATTTTTTTAAGCAGTGGTTTTCAAACTGTTCTGTGGAACCCTGGGGCTTTGCAATAGGTCATTAGGGGGTCTGCAGAGATTGAGGGTAATGATAGAGGGGACTGGCAGCTTCACAGCCCATGGAGCCAGGGGTAAGTGTTGCAGGGCAGAAAAATGATATGAAAGAGTTCTGTATAGTTTGAAAACCACTGTTTTAAAGCTTATTGCCATCTTGACTCTTAATATACTGCCAGTGTCATTTTGTATGCCGTTAGTACTCACCTTGTAAGACATTAAATGAAAACAAAAAATTTCCACAGAGACCAAATTATTCTAAAAGGCAATTCCCAGAATCTTCTGATTGGGTTTGAAACAATGTTTTTACACTGAGAAGAAAACAATATATTCTTCTGGACAGAAATGCATTGCTGAACAAGAAAATCCCAAATGATGCTGCTATACTGACAATCTTATATACATCCTTACATTCTCAGAGCCAAAGGTAACTGTGTTTCCTTCAATACCTACTATTTCTGAGATGCATGCATCAGCAAGAAAAACTGACCTGATTAGCACACGTCCCATCTGTAATTGGCATGCAAAGAAAGGCTCCCCAATGTGTTTATACTGGGAAGTGGATGACACCACCTTCCTTGGGGATCTACCACCTTTTATTGTATTCAATTTAGGTAGTTATTTGGGACCTTTATCATCATCTCTCAATGCCTTGTGGTGAAGACACACAAAATCATAAATGGTTTCCCTGAAATGTCCTTAGCCTCCTTAACTGTTCCGTCCAACACAGAAGATTCACCAGTTGCATGTTGGTCCCGTACTTATCTTATTTTCTCATTATATTCCAATATCTATCTTGAAAATTCTTGTCATCTTTCCCTACTTTATAACTTACCTGCAACAGTATACACACTTCTTTCTTTTAGTTTCACTCTAGTCTGAATTTCCAAATTCAAATCAGATTCACATCTTAAACACCGCAGGTCACAAAAGGAGGATACCACTGTAATTTGTTTTTAATGAATGCATAAAAAAAATTAGTTAGAGCTCCATCACACAAATATAAGCATTTTAAACCCAGGATTATGCATTGTCCATGTTCACTTAAACCAATCTGTTATATACATTTTAGAAGCTGTTATGTACATTTTAGGAGCTGGTTACCAGAAATGATGCTCAGTAATTATTCCAGGGATTTTTTTTCCCATGAACTAAATGCTGGTCTTTAAAATGAAATTCTGAATATCACCCAGTAGCATTTCAACAAAAAATGCTTTTCAGCTTGCCCAAATTGTAGAGGACAGCTCATCTCTTCACGCAAAAGCTTACTGAGCTTGTAATTTACTGAGATACTGTTTATTTTAATGAGTGTGCTAGAAGATGATCTGGCATTGGTAGGAGATTAATTTGTGTATTAATACAACTCAAAAGTTCACTCAATTTACACACAGTAATGAAAAGCTTAATTTAAACTCAACATTTCCACTTTTTCCCCTGCTTGAGTTTACATCATGTACTTCATCAAATCCAGAATGAGAGGCTTCAGAAAAAAAACAGATTAATCAGATCAAAGAAAATGATTTGCCAAACTTACATCAAGGCTTCAGTAATTAGAAATGTGTATCCCACACATCAAGGACTGACTGAAGCAATACACAGTCCTTGAAATGCTGCATTTGTGCTGCTGTAGCCCAAGGTCCATCACTTTTCATAACCACCCTCCACTTTTCTAACTTAAGACTCAAATTCAAATGCAACTCCCACAACAAGTCAATCACAATGTATCCATTGACCTCAGCGAGAGACTGACTTCAGCACTAAGTGACACTTCATGGCTAAGGGCCTCATTCATGCCAGCAGTCCTATTGTCCCGTGACTGGGAACTACTCAATTTCAACAAAATTCATCCCTCAGGTGTAACATGACATTAGATACTGAAGTCTCCATTTCCTAACTGCACCCCAAGGAGCATTTTCTGTGGGCCACAGAGAACTCTGTTCACGTGACACTACATTTTTCTCTTGGCTTTTGGCTCTACAACACACTAAAAGTTAAGAATATATTACTTCCCTAATGTTACATTTTGAAATGAGCAATTTAGTAGCTGCTGTAAGAATGTTTTCTATTCCCTAACATTAGAAGAGGTGATGCTTCCAGGCATGAAAGGAAACTGAGAAGTTCAAAAGACTATATCCTTACTAAAAAGGTACTGTGCTGTGAGAAAAACTGAGCACCACTGACACAAAGCTTTTGTTCAAACTCTCATCAAAAATCTTAAAAGCCTTAATTCAAAACCAACTGATGCTAAAAGACATTTTTGCAGAGAAGACCAAATTGTTTCTCTATAATTGTTTCCAAAACAATTTCATTTTAAAAATAGTCAAAGAGTGTGCACATAAACATTAACTTTTTGCATTAAAAAATAAAGACTTTCCAGCGTATTTTAGATACATGCTCAAGGTCTATGAATTAATTCAATATACTAATGACTAAAAATATGGCAGCATATGGTGTGTTGGGTTGATATGTTAAAGTAAATAAACCTGGATCTAGCACATCACTGAAGCTCTTTTTGAACAATGGCATGAGCCATACTATATGTCCCCGGTGGGCCTTCGTCGAACCCTCCTCGTAGTGTGGCTCCCCGTTCGGGTGACCCCCTCTGCACCAAGCGTTGGTGTTGCTGCAGTTGGGTTGTCTTCCCCGCTGTGCCAACCCTGCTTCTCTCCTGCCACGACTTTGCTGTTATCCCAGTGGGCGGGGCCAGCTCATCGGTCCCTCGGTGTCCTGGGTTGGCCTCGTCGGTTACACACGGGGCTCCAGCCATCCCTACACCCCGGCCTCACGCCACCTAGGGTCTTCACCTCCCTGCACTGACTTAGCGCAGTGTCCAGACTCCTCCCTCACCCCGATGCTCTCTATTCTTGGCGGTGATCCCGCCCCGAACTCTCGCTCCAGGCTGCTGCGTCTTCGGCCTCACCCTCCTCTTCGGCACTTCCCGCGCCCCTCACCACAGCACTTACTTTCTGCCGCTTGGGATCTTCCTGGGTGCTCTTGATCCCCTGTTGTTTCCCTGCTCTGGCGCTGCAGGCTTGCTCCACTGGGGATCTAGCTATCCCACCTCCTCTCCCGGCCACTGGATGCTCCCGCTCCTCGGCTCTGCAGCTCCTGCCCAGCCGGGCTGGCGACAGGGACCACCTTGCCCGCCGCTTCTTCCTCTCTCTCTCCACCCCCTCCGGAGTGGCAGCTGCCATTTTTAAATCTCCCGGCCGGCGTCTTACGTCACCGGCAGCTTCGGGCTGCAGCTGTACATAGACGCGGCTGACGAACCGCGCGGGCTCTCCCTTCCGCGCGGTGTCCTGCCCTCCTGGTGAGTTTTCCTGGCTTCCGCAGGTCCCGGGACACTATAGTTAACATACGATATGAGGATGCACATTACCTCTAAAGGAGTCATTAAAATCTATTATAGCAAACTGTGTACATAGACAGAGATACCCTTTGTTCCTTTCAGTGCTTCCTTAAAAGGACAATATTTAAGTTCATATATTCTATTTTAAAATACAATAAAAAGGAGTTAATATTGATGGTACAGGTTTGCATTTCTGATTCCACTTTTATACCATAAAGAGTAATAAACAGTAACAGAACATCTTTGAAAATATGAATGTGCTGGGCTGGATTTTTAGATTTAACTGCAAGATTCTTTCTTCTGAAAAAGTATGATTCTGTTCTAAAAGACAACTGCAATGGCATCATTATGCTTCTTGCTTATTATGTTTTGATTGCCAAATCACATTTCTTCAGTTATAAATAAATATGAATTTTCTGACTGAGAAGTCCTGCAAGTTCAACCCAGGTTCAGAGCTGAATTGGGTTTTCACACATCACTATTAACAAAAAAGATTGACAGACCAAATTAGGCCTTGTTTTACACTTGTGTAATCCCAAAGAAAGCTATCAGAATCACATGTCAGATCCTACCTTGAACATTGCTTTGAAACCAATAAAAAAAATACAAAAATCTTTAAAATGTATTACATACAATATTTAAAGAATTATATATATACATAAACACATGTACACACATGGACTTCATTTTAAGAAAAGCACTACCTTGTTATACGGTGAAAGCTGCCATATAGTTAATACTTCCCAGCAGGAGCTCTGGTAGGCTCCCAATTCAGGATTCAGTCTCCTGAAATCAACAGGAACATTTCTATGGACTTCCATGGGCTTTGACTTAGGACCCATGAGCAGGTCTTAGAGAGCACCAGGAGAGAGCAGAAAAAAAAATCAACACAATTGTGAAGTCAGTTGTGTTGCCTCTTACACACACACACACACACACACACACACACACACACAGAGCTACTTTCAACTACACCATTGATATTCTGAAGTGGCCTAGCACATTTAAAAAAATAGAACTTAATTAACAGCAGCTATGTAATACATACAAACTCCTCTTTATCTATTTATTTTGGCTTAAATGTCTTTCCTACATGAAGTATTTACAGGTAGGGAAAAGCAGCTCTCAGATCCATATTCTTTGTAAGCATTAAGATATTTATTTTGCATACAAATAGAAAAAGATATTTACAGAAAAGGTACTTAAGATACTGAAGAAATACTTAATGTTTAATAAGCTTCACCTCAACTTCATGTCTTTTGCATTATAGAAACATATTACTTTTGCTATGTTCAAATTTGGTGTTTAACTCCCTGGATTTCTTGATAAGAGCCTTCTTCTGAGCTTCATCAAATCTATTGACTTGGAGGTCCTGATCTCGATCAAACGGCCTTCTCTCCTGAGGCTTGTTCTTATCTTCTGTGGCTTTGCTCTTTAATTTTTTGTGATGCATATCCATGAGAGATTCTGGTCTCTTTGAGTCCTGGAAAAGAACAGGGAGCAACACGAAAGAGTGAATACTGAAGAATGTTGGTGAAATATAGTGTACATAAGGATTACAATAGCCAAGAGTTACAATGGTTGTGAGGGATTTCCAAAGGACAAAAATTTAAGTAACTGGAATACACAAAAAAAAAAAATGAAATTCAGCATAGACAAGTGGGGCATGTCCACACAGGCAGGCATGTGCGTTTGCAGCAGCTCTAATAAAAGCGGCACAAATTTGAGCCGGGGACATTTGCCTCAGTGCACGTGCTCGGACATGCACTTCAGTGTGGGGCAAGTTGTGCCACTTGGGGCAAAATAACCCTGCCCAGCTCCTCCTGGATCTGCAGCCAGGGGGAGCTAGAGCCTGGGACCAGCACCTGTGCTGGCTGAGAGTTCCCTGCATCCTCTAACTACTGCAGCAGTCTGGCAGTGGCAGTTGTTGCCTGGCTATGACCTGCTGCCACCTGCGATAGCACGTGGCCCCAAGGATGCATGCCTGCCAGACCTGGATGGGGACTGCATGGCCGCAGTGGATTGTGGCTGCACAGTTGGCCTTTGTGTTGCACTACTGCCATGAGTGCTGGCGCCCTGCCATCTGGATAGCTATCGCCCAGATGTTCTCAGCGTGATGGCCTGCTTTGAATCAAAGCATGCCCTCCTGGCCACCTGAGGTCAGCCACCTCCTGCTGGGTCCTGGGTGCCAGCTCTGAGAAGGCTCCTCTGCCTGGGTCCTGCCACTTGTCTCACTAGCAGAAACTCTGGTGTTCCCCATTTAAAAACTGCAAAAATCTCTGATAAGAAAATCCTGAAGTCACTCTTTAAAATACCCCAAAATGCATGTTCTTCCACAATTAAAACAAAAGACCACTCTATATATGGCCCACTTTTTTGGGGGGGGGGGCGCGTCTGATACCTGGATATCCAGATATCAAATTTTGAGCCCACACTGAAAATATGCGGCATGGGGAACATTTTTTTGGTCCCAGAATAAATCTTGCCATGTCTCAAACTGCTTTGAGATGCGGCAAGAGGCACGTGCAGGCTCATCTGCACCTGTGTAGAGTAATTCTGATGAGAAAGGAGTTTAAATCTAGCTGTATTTACCAATGAGTTTTAAAATCAGTTTTTAGATTAAATATCTAGGTGTCATTGTAAGGAGATAACCAAATAGTCATGCAAAAAAAGAGCTTTGTAAAAACAAGTACAAAGAAGTTCAGTCCCAATTCTAGAAATGCATAAACATGAGCTCAACTAAGTGTGTCATTAGTCTGCTGAAGTTGACATGTCTGTTTACTTGCACAAAGTTAAGAACATGCTGAAACATTGTTGAACCAGGGAATTATGTAGTGTTTGTTAAAGACCCCAATTCCATTGTCACAGAAACCATTTGCAAAATTTCTACTGGCTTTAACAAGAGTAGGTCTGATCCCAAACTAGGTATGCTGCATTCCCCTTTACAAAGGCAAAATGTGTACATGTCTCTGTGGTGGCCCAGTTCCTTGCACTCCCAGCTCCTGGCAAAATAGTGTAGAGGCCAGGCACAAACTGGTCCTCTATTTGTAAACACATCTGCATATATCTCTTTTGTGTTTTTCTAAGACTATCAATAGGAAAACAGGATATTTCTTTAAAAGTTCATTTTTCCTCATTGATACTTATTTCCCACCTGCAGTCACAATCTTCTACTTGTGCCATCAGAAATGGTTGTTGTGGCAATCATCAAAGCATAGGCCAGATTCATTCCAGATTTAACTCCCCCAATTTCAAGAGAGTTACAATAGAAGATAAATGTGGTACTATCACCACAGACATTAAGAAACAATTTTCTTTGTTACAGGTTACAGGGGTGGGCGGATGAGAATAGGATGGGATTCAATACCAACAAGTGCAAAGCGATGCACCTGGGGAGGAACAACCGGCACCATACTTACAGGTTGGGGAACTCCCTTCTCGTCAGTGCAGAGGCAGAAAAGGATCTTGGAGTCATCAGTGATTCCAAGATGAACATGGGCCGGCAGTGTGGGGATGCAGTCAGGAAGGCCAACCGTACTTTGCCAAGCATCCACAGATGCATCTCAAGCAGGTCCAAGGAGGTGATCCTCCCCCTTTACGCAGCACTGGTCAGGCCACAGCTGGAGTACTGTGTCCAGTTCTGGGTGCTGCACTTCAAGAGGGATGTGGACAACATGGAGAGGATCCAGAGGAGGGCCACTCGCATTATCAGGGGGCAGCAGGGCAGGCCCTACAAGGAGAGGCTACGGGACCTCAACCTGTTCAGCCTCCAGAAGAGAAGGCTGAGGGGAGATCTAGTGGCCTGTTACAAACTAGTCAGAGGGGACCAGCAGGCACTGGGGAAGTCCCTGTTCCCCCATGCACTACCAGGAGTGACCAGGAATAACGGTCACAAGCTGGCAGAGGGTAGATTTAGGCTAGATATCAGGAGGCGCTACTTCACGGTCAGGGCGGCTAGGATCTTGAACCAACTTCCAAGAGAAGTGGTGCTGGCTCCTACCCTGGGGGTCTTTAAGAGGAGGCTGGATGTACACCTTGCTGGGGTCGTTTGACCCCAGTACTCTTCCCTGCCATGGCAGGGGGTCAGACTCGATGATCTGCTCGGGTCCCTTCCAACCCTAGAAACTATGAAACTATGAATGACAATATGTATGACAATGTTCTTGGTGGAAATCAAAGGGGAAAAAAGGATAGAAAAACAACATAAGAATTGTTCTCCAAGCAAAATGTTCTTCAGTATGTTCTAAGAGACGTCAGCTAACTTTAAAAAGAGTAAATGTGCGCATAGTATGGAAAGAACATGAAATGCAATTTTATATATAAAAGCAATTCTAAATCCATAGCTGAACTAAAAGTAAGAAATACAGAAAACTGGAAGTTAACAGCTCTGTATTTTAAACTCTGCAAATCAAAACAGATATCATCTAATGAACTGCAAATACATTTTTTGAAGTGCCAGATAAAATTAAAATCTTGTCATCTAAGCCAAGTGGTGTTTCCCAAATCAATTCTTTTCTCTTAGGATATTTTACTGTCTTTTGCAACATTTCAGGCCAGTATTCAGAGGAGAATAGAAAACAGAAGCCTTAAAGGCAAATAAAACTCTACATGTTGAAACCAGGGTGGGTGGCCAAGGGCAGCATACAACTGTGAAGCTGATACAGAGGTCAGCTTTGTAATGACCAGTCTTTGATTAAGAAAACTGCAAATGCTTCTGAAGTAATAGAATATTTTACCAGAAAATGTTACCAGAAAAGTAGATATAGTACTGATTTATTTAGCACACTGAGTATCCTTTCTGCTTGTTTATATTTTTACCTTATAATTAAACCCATGTAATGGTTCCCCCCCCCCCCGCCATTTTTTCTAGACATTCCTGTAATTTGGTGAAGAATGTCATGGTTTGAACTGAAGCTGTCTATTCGCAATGACAGAAGTTCTGACTTAGGACTAAAATACAAAAGGAAAATTCTCACACTTTCACCGTCTCTCTCTCTCTCTCTCTCTCTCTCCAGCAGCAGTTTAAGACCCAATACTATTCTTGCTGACTGCCTTAAATGCCAGCCAGTTGGGGCCTTAAAAGAGAAGAATATCATGGTATCACCATGGAAACCAACAGTGCTGAGATGAGAAACAGAAAGAGTGACGAATTAAAGGAAACATGGGAAAAGCAATTTGCTTTTACACTCACATTATATGAAGATACTTGCTCAGCCAGTCTCTTGTCCCTCCTCGAAAATACAATTTCTTCATCACCCTTACTGGCTGACTTCTTTGCCTCATGCATTTCCTGATGAATGGAAGCAGATTACAAGTATTAGTAAGCAGTACACTTCAAGCAACAAATAAGTCTATATTTAAATGTAAAAGGAGCAAGCCAAGATGAAGCTTTTGTATCTCTGCCTATCAGGCATTTTTGTCCTGCTTGATTTAAAAAAAGCACACAAGCCTCAATCTAATTTGATGTTCATTAAACTGGTACAGAATTGATTTCACTTGTTGGTGAGAACAAGAAAGAATTTTTACTTAAAATGGTTATTCTCTAACCTTCAGGTCTGTGTGTGTGAACTGCGTGTGTGAGGTAAGTAATGAGAAAACTTCCTTTAGGCTTTCCTGAATGGCTGAAGCAATCTTCAGTTTATTTTCTCAGTCTTCTCAAGTACTAACAACATATATCATCTGCATGTCTATACAAATGATTAAATACTCACTTTGGCTTTCCTCTCTCTGTCAGCTGGAGTATCTGTCCAAATTGATCTATCTCCTGATTTGTCATCAGCTCTTCTCTTGAAAGTTCTTGGACCCAATCCAAATTTTTTCAATTCTGGTGGAAGCTCTGTCATCCAAGATTCCCTTGTAACTTGCTTGGACCCATCCTTTAAAGTAAAAAACAAGAAAAAAAAAATATTGGAACCAACCCCACCATCCTGTAGAAATTATGAATCTTTCTGGTTACCATCTCTTCTTAAAAGCCACAAGAAAAGTACAACTGGAGAAGATTCAAAGAACTGCTAACAGACCAGGAAAATAGCACAGTCAGCAAAATTATTTATAAAACTTACATCATCTGTACAAGTAAGCTTTTCTTTCATTCTTTGAGCTCTGTATTCAAACTCTCTAGTGACATCAGATTCCACTGGTCCTTTGGCAGGCATCGGACCTATGAGATCATCGTCCTCTTCACTATCTGTTGCCTTCTAAAAATAAAATATGAAACATATCCATCAAACATAGGAATAGAATAGCTCCATAAAATGTAAATTATTTGATCTAGTAGTTCAGATAGTCTATTCAGTAACTCAATTGCTTGTTTTACTTCATGCTGAGAAAAGACAGAGGGGCTAGAGTATGTGTATGTGGCAAACATACACCCAAAAGTTGTGCTAAAGCTTCTAGGAATATTGACCAACATTTTTAAGCAGCCATGTTGTTTTAGTTCTGTAACTCCCATTGCCTTCCATAGAAATCACACAATGTCTAATACTTATACTTCTGAATGTATCACCCCTTGTGGTTTCCCAGACCTGAAGATGGGAACTTTGTGCCCAAAAGCTCATTTAACAGCTCTCTTGATTATATACACTGTATTTACCTGAATACAAGACAATCCCCTGATAATTAGATTCTATCCATGGAAAATGTATAAGTATGTTATAATTTTCCATGTACAGAGTTTGATTATTGGAGGATATAGTCTTAAAATTTGTCTTTATCATAACTGCAGCACGGGGAAAAATATGGCTGGGGGAAAAAGCATCCCCCCCAGCTTTATTCCCCCCAAAACCTCTGCCTCCCGGCAGCCTTGGGCCACCACCCCACTCCACCATCCCCCTTCCTTCATCCTCAGGTCCCGTCCCCTCCTTCCCCCACCCACAAACCTCCTCCTGCTTACCTTTGCTTTGGCACTAGCAGGCTCTGTCCCCACTCCAGCCCTGGGGCACAGTGCATGGCCCCAGCCTGCTCCTTGAGCAGTGTTGCAGAGCTGGCAACACTGCTACAGGGCTGGGCTGGGGCCATGCTCCATGCCCTAGGTTGGAGCAGGCATGGAGCCTGCTGGCACAGAGTAAAGTTAAGGGTAGGGAGGGGCAGTAGAAGCAGAAGCTACAGCAAGGGAAGAGGAAAGGGGAGGAGGGCAGGGGCCCAAGGCTGTGAGGGGGCAGAAGCAGCATGGAGGCAGACAGGGTGGGCAAGCGGGGGCTTGAGGTTGCCATAGGGAGAAGCAAAGGGTGTGGACACAGTAGGGATACAGGCAGTAGCTGCAGCTGGAATCACAGCCTGCCACCACCACCTCATACTCAATTGTAAAACAAAGGGCTATTCCCCTGTGTTAAAATGGGGGGAAAAATCATCTTGGAATAAAGTAAATACAGTAGTTTGTCCAATAAAAAGATATTGCCAAACAAATCTTGCCCCTTGTGGTTAAGAGTATTCTTGCCAGAGAGAGATTAATAAATATTGTATCATGTGTAGAATTCCTACCAGCAGGGTGATATCATTATCTCTTAATACTCTGCTCATACCCCTGTAGCTCACCAGCCATTAAGATTAGAAACAATTCAAGGGTACCTATACAACTGTAATATTATAAGCATCTGGTATCTTTATTCATTACATGTAAACTTATCCCTGTAAGCATGTATGACGTTTTATGGATAATATTGTACATAATAAATGCAAACTCTAAAGATTTTAGAATTTGACCCAAACTTAGAACCGTGGGGATGCCATGGAGGATGACAGCAGACAAAGGGAGGAGCAGAATGAACAAAGAAATGCGCAGAATATGCTTATGGATTGGCTTCACTGGTAGTGCTGTGTTAGTACTAATATTTCTTTTGTTTTAGTATTATTAGTATTTCGTATTAGTATTTCTTTTAAATTACCTGCCAACATTTCTTATTGTACAAGGCATCGTACTGTTTGAAGGATTGGATATATGTCAGCTTTGAGAGGATACTGGAAGGAGTAAAGGATAAAGGGTTCCAGGTTACCTGGGAGAAGGCATAGAGGTCCTCCTGGGTTACAGACCAAAGTACCTGGGTGAGGCAGGCAAGAATTGGCAAGCCCAGATTCCGAGCAAGAGACTGGCAGCCAACTAAGAACAAGATTTATTGAAGGGTCATAGAATGCAGAGAGCTAAGTAGCTAACTAAGTGAGGATAAGGACCTTGAGACTGATGTGTAAGTGGACATGGGGCTTATGAAGTAGGAAGATGTAAGCAATCTGGGGTAGTTTTGGTTTTGCTGTGTTGAGGTAAGGGACATTCAAATGGTGATTGCGACACTGGCAGATGCAAGACTGAATAGACTGGCCAAATAGCCTTAACATTCCTGTGTAAAACAGAGGCTATTAGAACTGATGAGGTCACAGAGAGAGGAGTCATCAAGGAGATAACCCTGGTAGAAAATGCCATCTAAGGGGAGCAGGACAAGGTAGGAACACTGGAGAAGCAGCCAGAGAGGTAGTATAATTGAGCATAAGAGGTAGTATAATTAAATATAAGAGACATAGTATAATTATAAAAGCTAAGGAGAAGGAAGGATGGCAAAGAATTGAAAAGGATGGTGTGACTGACTGTACCAAATAAAACCAAAGGTCTGGAGGACAAATTTGATTATCCATTTATCCATAACAAGCTAGGTGCATAATGGCATTTCCTCTTGTCATTTTACTCAAAGCTGTCAGATTCATATATCTTGACTACTGAAAAATATGCCATTTGCAATACTGCTAACTTTCCCAAAAGTCTAAGGAAGTGGCAGGAAGTGTGTGAAACTTTAGACTAGCTTGAAGAAGTAGCCTGCTGAAGATGGGAGTTCAGCTGCCTTCCCTGGAGAGTGCTTTAAAGTTTCATGAATTCATTATATTAATTTAAAACATGAAGCACCTCATGGGGTACTTGTAGGTATAATGTATGACTCCAAGGGCCCCTCTATACATGCAGGTAAAGGCATGATGGGATCTATTGCATGATCCACACAGTTGCAC